ATATTAAAACACTTTAAAACTTACACCTCAGGAGTTCTTACCTGTCGGGATCCTTCGGGAAACGGTGGAAGGCCAGGTGCGGGGTGTTCCACTGATAGTTGTTGCAGTTAATTGCACTACACTGTTTTCTTTTACTTTTTTCTCCTCTCTCCTTCACATCTTGCATGTCGTCTGGCCGCAACAGTCCAAGCTCAACAGTCCAAAATGGCGGCAGCGCCCCTAGTGGCTGTTGGCAAAAAATTCAACGGAGCTTCGCCTCTTGGTATCCATGCTCTTTGGTCACAGTTCCCTTGACTTGATTGAAGGGTAGTTCAGATCACCTGTTGCGCAGGGTGTGGGCACTGACTCCTAATTAAGAATTGAGAGCAGCTTGGTGCATTTCCCCTCTGGGCCAATCAGGGCGTGACAACGCCCTCTGATCTTTAATGAAAGCTGTTGCCTTGTATTTTTTTCCTCTGAAAATATTAACCTTATGTTCAGACACAATTAATTTAGCCTGAGTTGTTGAGGGGACAGGTCTGCTGTGCAGCAGCAAACTGATATGATGCTGATGTGCATGAGAATTCACGTAAAATGGGAGTTGAACCATGAAAATAAATTACAGATCGCCTGTAAAGCATTTTAATAGGTCACTCTATCATAATTAAAACTATTAGAGACTGAAACAACTTAATAAATCGTCACCATCTCCTGCTGCAGCCACCTGTTCATCTCAAATGAGCCTATTGTCAGACAGAAACTCAGGTCTCTTGGCCCTTTGAGAATTCAGTGCCGTCTTTTTCTGTGTGGTTTGAGAGTGATTTTAAAACCTAAAGAAATATATAAAACAATCTCTGAACACTAGGTCCCCTGCATCTGGGCTGTTCTTAGTGTTTCTGTGCAAGAGTTTATCTTGCCAAATGATCACCTAACAGCAGTCCTTACTGTAAAAACAGACAGCGCTCACAATCCCTCTAGTGTTCAGAGGCCGGCCTATAAATCTATACAGGTTAAGTAAGAAATGAAATAGCCCTGCAGATTTTTTTTGTGTCTTAGAGTGGTCAGAGTAAGATTTGGAAACACTGTGAACCTTTGTGTCGATAAATGTGTTGAACTTTGTCTTGTACGTTCCAGAAACAGAAACTTCATCACTTCTGAGATTCAAAGCAGCGTTTTCAGGCTGTGTGGTCACGCTTTAAAATGAATACGTGATATAGGTATGATTTACAGTTTGCTGGTTTTAACAGCCACACAAGCTTTCACCAAGAATCCATCAGATTTGACTTATTCCACTTTGTCTGGTTTTGAAACTTATTGGATGAATTCAATACTTTCCATAAGCAGGCCACTTTAATCCACTGCAGCGATCTGAATCATGACTTCTTGAAAGTTCTGAAAAAATCTATATCTCCATGTTAACGTTTTTTTGTAAACCAAAGAAATTTATTTACCTTTTCTAATTTATTTGTAACCATTTCTTCCAGCCAAGCCAACGTCTATTTTAGAAATCATACTTCACAAAGAAAAGAAAATGCTGCACATAAGAAGAACAAGAAATATATAAAGGTTTTTTAATGCTTTAATCTATATTAATCCATAAGAAGGCAGTGTATTAAACCCGCTGTTTCCCAACACCAAATATCTTTATCTCCGTGTGTTAATACATTTAAAATCAGTGTCAGGTCATTTCAGAATAAAGAAGCAGAGCATTTTAACATGAGACTGCAGCCTGTAAGTGTTTAACTATTGAAACAGGTTGTGTGATCAGTTGGTGAAAGGTACGAGGGGGTCGTCTTTGGTTTTGTGCTGCTCGACACCGCACAATATTTCCTTTGGGTCCGGCGCACCGTGTACAAGCAGAGGTATTCGGAAGACATTCAGATGAATATAGTCCTCTCCTCCATCATGAACCTGCAAGACAAGAGAGGATAATTTTAAGTCGAGAAAATGATAAAAAAAATTGAATTTTTTAAACAACCACCATCTCCACTGGAGTCAATATTAATCAATGCCACTGTAGAGGAGGATAATACAAAAAGAGTCTCACAGATGTATAAAAGTCTGCAATCTCTCATAGCAGGGAATACATTGAAATGGGACTTGAAGACAACAGCAGATGAAGTGCTCATGTAGGTTGCAGTATCATGGTATCCAGGTAGGTGCTCTTTGGTCAGGAAGTGTAGTACATCTTGAAAAAAACAAAATCCAAGGCAACTCTTCTCTGGTGCAAAAGTTAAAAGGCCTTTATTAAATGGCTAGTTCATGATGAACATTAAAATCACCAACATGTTTCGGCCATGCTCACTGGCCTTCATCAGGACATCAGGGCCTGATGAAGGCCAGTGAGCATGGCTCCTTTTTCAGTTGGAGCTAAATGTGATTATTGAAGATGAGGACTGGGAGGAGGTGTGCGAATGAGCGCATAAAATCCTCAATAGTCCAGCCTGGAAAGAATTTAGTTGGAAAATGATAATAAGACTTTTTAGAACCCCTGGTATTGTCTCTAAATATGATCAAAGAACAACGAATCTGTGCTGGAGGGATTGCAAACAAGTTGGAGATCATGCACATATTTTCTGGAAATGTCCAAAATTGAAATCATATTGGGAAAGTATTCATACAGAAATATTATCTATCTTAGGTATTGACTTGTCCGTGGACCCTAGGTTTTATATTATAGGTTTGACTCCGGCGGGGCTGGTGGATAATAAATAATAAAAAAAAATGTTGTATACACTTCTACTGATTGCAAGGAAGATGATCACCTTGTCTTGGAGTAACCCCCTCCCGCCCACAATACAACAATGGCATAAAAAGATTGTGACTCCATGGAAAAAATAACAGCTAAAATACAGTTAAAGTTTGATATGTTTTTAAGAAGATGGAAACCTATAATAGATTATTTAATTTATCAATCTGACCCTTTCCTGCTATATTTATATAGTGGTGGTATGCATTGTTTACATGTTTTGTCTATGGAAAGAAACTTTATGAAATTATGATATTTTGTTTTTCCTTCCTCTTACCCCTCGTGTGTGAGGTTGTTTTGTACTCTCCGTTTACTTATGTATGCAACTGATGTCGGATGTACGATACCCTAGTAATGTACTATTATGAAATTCAGAATTATTCTGATCTGATATTTATGATAATGGTGAATGTTTCTTTTTTATGTTGTGTTGAAGCAAAGAAAGTTCATGATTTTTTTTGTATTGTGGTCATTTATTTATTTAAAGGTTTTTTATGTGTTTATTATTATTATTTTGGTAAATTAATTGCTCTAGCCTTAGGGTCAAAGTGAAAAAGGAAGAAAGGAGAAAAAAGAGGAAAGAAAAGAGAAGGGGGGAAAGAGGAGAAGAAAAAGAGAAAAAAAGGGGGGAAGGGAAAAATAAGGTTGAATATAAAAAATGCCCTCCTTATGTATTTATTTATTTAATGATTTATTTGCTTCATGAACTAATATGGTTTTGTGGTTTGAATGATCTGTTGTGAAACTTCCTTTCTTTTTTTCTTTTTTCTTTTTTCAAATTAGGTTGACTATTTGATGCCCAATATTGAACTTGTGTTTATAGAGAGATGGAACAAGGATAAAGGAAAGGGAAGAGAGAAGGGGGGAAGGGGAACAAAGGGGAAAGAAAAGAAAGGGAGAAGGGGAAAGAAAGGAAAAGAAAAAACCTTGGATCGATTAAGGTTAATTTTGGTTTACCATTTTGGTTTAACATTGCCTGCCTCACTGTATATAACTACACTTTTGGTGTTGTTTTATTTAATTTTAATTTTTATTTAAATAAGAAAAAAAAAATAATGAAAAAAAAATAAAATTTCGCATTAATCATTACCTTGAAAAGGAAGCTTTGTTCATCAACAATCTCACAGTATTTCACTGCTGTGTATACCCCATAGTTCTCGCCTGTCTTTTTCTCCACTTCGTCCTTCACCTGTGTGTGAATGGAATAAAACATGATGTAAATCCAGACTGAAATACAGACCAGAGAGTTGTGTGTGGAGGTTGTGAAGAATAAAGGTAGACTGAAACTCACCTGATCACAAATCTTCTGAGTTTCCTCAGTGACGTCCATTGTCTCACTCCATTCTCCCATACCCACAGCCATTGTCACAAGGTCTGTTGAGGTTAACAGAGGAGTCGACTGTCTGCTTCTACATGTCTCAAGTGTTTAATTTCAGCTGGTTATCACATATATTAAACTGTGTGACTGCCTCTGGAGCTGGTAGTGGGCTCTGATGACATTTTGGGTGGAGGTGGAGGTGTGGTTAGTGTTGCTCATCCTTTGTGAATTATTCCCCAATTCAAGTTCACTACCTGTTCAGCACCAAACAGCATGTAGACAAAGTTACTGACTATCTGATGAACATCGTGGAACATTGAGCAGCTAATGACAGAGAGACTGTATTTCCTTCAGGAGTAGGTAAGGACCAAAACAGAGCTAAAAAGAGAGTGAATATTGAACTTCTAACCATCAGGTGGCCAGAAACACAACATATTGTTTATGTCTGCTGGATGTATAAGTAGGCAGCTGTTTGCTAATAATTCAGCCATATTAACTCTATAAGTAAATGATATGTGCAGGTGAAATGTGCATTTTGGGTCTGAGAGCTTGTTTAATCCCAGAAGAACAAGAAGGTCAGGCTGGTCACGCAACTTCCTCATTCAGTATGTATATTGTGTAAGGTTGTGTTCACTCCCATATTTTTTTAACATCATTACTTCAGAAATATGAAGATTAACCAAGAAATCCTCCTCCACATCGCTCGTTAGAATTACTCAACAGTTAAGGAGAGACTGTGGTGCACACTGCACCATTTAAACATGCAATCTGTTAGGGCAGTTCAATATTAGGACCCAAAAGCAGACACCACCAGAAGACTGAACAGTCTAGACAGTTTATTTTTGGACAAAAAAGGAAAGTTGGTTGAAGGCTTGGCTGGAGTGGACAGGCTGAGGAGGTTGGGTTCGGCGGAGCAGGGCAGGCGGTGGAGTTGAAGGAGGAGAAACCAAATTGGCTGCTGAAGACAGAAGTGAGGCAGGTCGAGTCTTGTATAGTGGTGGAGCTGGCGTGGAGGATCTGAGGCACAGAGAAAAAAAACAGGTAAACTGGTTGTCCAGGAAAAAAAAAACACCAGAAATACAAATGATCCAAATAGTCTTAGGAAAGGAGACCTAGACGTCTGTACCGCAACGGAAACTGAACGATCTGGCGGAGTCTGGAGGTCTGAACCAAGGTTATATACACTGCAGGGCTTGATTGGAGATTAGGTGCAGGTGAGGAGAACCAGCAGCTGCAGGAGATCAGATGGCAGGCAGGAGGAGGGAACCCAGAGTCCACGCCCAGCAACACAGACAGACTGAGACAAACATGACACAATAGGGAGGGGAAAACAGGAAAACACAAGGAAAGGGAGAGGCTACGCCCAAACTCTAACACAATCATGGTGACTAATCAGAGGTTAGTTTGATTTCAACTTGATTCAAAGGAAAATTTTCTTTGTTTTCACTGTATAAATCTACAGGATTATTATCTTAATGAGCCAAAAATTGCTTTGTGTCATTTAAATAAATGTACTATTTGTAGAATTTCTTGTGTGAAAATATCATCTCGAAAATTAATGTGTCTGTTTACTATAAAACCTAATGAATTTTCATATCAAAGATGCCCTGTTTAATTTGTCATCTTACCCAGGAAACAAATACACAATGAGGCTCTGCACTCAGCTGTGTTCACAAACCTGTACCACCACAACAATGGCTGACTCTTCACTGAATCCCTCAACTGAGCTTCACCGAAAATGGTTCTGATGTTGCAACTGTACTGACCAAAACTCTCTCCCTAACGAGTAATTCTAACGAGCGATGTGGAGGAGGATTTCTTGGTTAACCTGCAGCAATGACGCTAAAACCTTACCTTACACAATTTAGGAAGTTGAGTGACCTGCAAGTGCCCCCTGACCTTCTTGTTCTTCTGGGATTAAACAAGCTCTCAGACCCAAAATGCACATTTCACCTGCACATATCATTTACTTATAGAGTTAATATGGCTGAATTATTAGCAAACAGCTGCCTACTTATACATCCAGCAGACATAAACAATATGTTATGTTTCTGGCCACCTGATGGTTAGAAGTTCAATATTCACTCTCTTTTTAGCTCTGTTTTGGTCCTTACCTACTCCTGAAGGAAATACAGTCTCTCTGTCATTAGCTGCTAAATGTTACACAATGTTCATCAGATAGTCAGTAACTTTGTCTACATGCTGTTTGGTGCTGAACAGGTAGTGAACTTGAATTGGGGAATAATTCACAAAGGATGAGCAACACTAACCACACCTCCACCTCCACCCAAAATGTCATCAGAGCCCACTACCAGCTCCAGAGGCAGTCACACAGTTTAATATATGTGATAACCAGCTGAAATTAAACACTTGAGACATGTAGAAGCAGACAGTCGACTCCTCTGTTAACCTCAACAGACCTTGTGACAATGGCTGTGGGTATGGGAGAATGGAGTGAGACAATGGACGTCACTGAGGAAACTCAGAAGATTTGTGATCAGGTGAGTTTCAGTCTACCTTTATTCTTCACAACCTCCACACACAACTCTCTGGTCTGTATTTCAGTCTGGATTTACATCATGTTTTATTCCATTCACACACAGGTGAAGGACGAAGTGGAGAAAAAGACAGGCGAGAACTATGGGGTATACACAGCAGTGAAATACTGTGAGATTGTTGATGAACAAAGCTTCCTTTTCAAGGTAATGATTAATGCGAAATTTTATTTTTTTTTCATTATTTTTTTTTTCTTATTTAAATAAAAATTAAAATTAAATAAAACAACACCAAAAGTGTAGTTATATACAGTGAGGCAGGCAATGTTAAACCAAAATGGTAAACCAAAATTAACCTTAATCGATCCAAGGTTTTTTCTTTTCCTTTCTTTCCCCTTCTCCCTTTCTTTTCTTTCCCCTTTGTTCCCCTTCCCCCCTTCTCTCTTCCCTTTCCTTTATCCTTGTTCCATCTCTCTATAAACACAAGTTCAATATTGGGCATCAAATAGTCAACCTAATTTGAAAAAAGAAAAAAGAAAAAAAGAAAGGAAGTTTCACAACAGATCATTCAAACCACAAAACCATATTAGTTCATGAAGCAAATAAATCATTAAATAAATAAATACATAAGGAGGGCATTTTTTATATTCAACCTTATTTTTCCCTTCCCCCCTTTTTTTCTCTTTTTCTTCTCCTCTTTCCCCCCTTCTCTTTTCTTTCCTCTTTTTTCTCCTTTCTTCCTTTTTCACTTTGACCCTAAGGCTAGAGCAATTAATTTACCAAAATAATAATAATAAACACATAAAAAACCTTTAAATAAATAAATGACCACAATACAAAAAAAATCATGAACTTTCTTTGCTTCAACACAACATAAAAAAGAAACATTCACCATTATCATAAATATCAGATCAGAATAATTCTGAATTTCATAATAGTACATTACTAGGGTATCGTACATCCGACATCAGTTGCATACATAAGTAAACGGAGAGTACAAAACAACCTCACACACGAGGGGTAAGAGGAAGGAAAAACAAAATATCATAATTTCATAAAGTTTCTTTCCATAGACAAAACATGTAAACAATGCATACCACCACTATATAAATATAGCAGGAAAGGGTCAGATTGATAAATTAAATAATCTATTATAGGTTTCCATCTTCTTAAAAACATATCAAACTTTAACTGTATTTTAGCTGTTATTTTTTCCATGGAGTCACAATCTTTTTATGCCATTGTTGTATTGTGGGCGGGAGGGGGTTACTCCAAGACAAGGTGATCATCTTCCTTGCAATCAGTAGAAGTGTATACAACATTTTTTTTTATTATTTATTATCCACCAGCCCCGCCGGAGTCAAACCTATAATATAAAACCTAGGGTCCACGGACAAGTCAATACCTAAGATAGATAATATTTCTGTATGAATACTTTCCCAATATGATTTCAATTTTGGACATTTCCAGAAAATATGTGCATGATCTCCAACTTGTTTGCAATCCCTCCAGCACAGATTCGTTGTTCTTTGATCATATTTAGAGACAATACCAGGGGTTCTAAAAAGTCTTATTATCATTTTCCAACTAAATTCTTTCCAGGCTGGACTATTGAGGATTTTATGCGCTCATTCGCACACCTCCTCCCAGTCCTCATCTTCAATAATCACATTTAGCTCCAACTGAAAAAGGAGCCATGCTCACTGGCCTTCATCAGGCCCTGATGTCCTGATGAAGGCCAGTGAGCATGGCCGAAACATGTTGGTGATTTTAATGTTCATCATGAACTAGCCATTTAATAAAGGCCTTTTAACTTTTGCACCAGAGAAGAGTTGCCTTGGATTTTGTTTTTTTCAAGATGTACTACACTTCCTGACCAAAGAGCACCTACCTGGATACCATGATACTGCAACCTACATGAGCACTTCATCTGCTGTTGTCTTCAAGTCCCATTTCAATGTATTCCCTGCTATGAGAGATTGCAGACTTTTATACATCTGTGAGACTCTTTTTGTATTATCCTACTCTACAGTGGCATTGATTAATATTGACTCCAGTGGAGATGGTGGTTGTTTAAAAAATTCAATTTTTTTTATCATTTTCTCGACTTAAAATTATCCTCTCTTGTCTTGCAGGTTCATGATGGAGGAGAGGACTATATTCATCTGAGTGTCTTCCGAATACCTCTGCTTGTACACGGTGCGCCGGACCCAAAGGAAATATTGTGCGGTGTCGAGCAGCACAAAACCAAAGACGACCCCCTCATACCTTTTACAAACTGAAAACACCACCTTGACACAGATATTTGATGTTGGAAATCTACAAGTTGAAGCACTACATTCTAAAGATATAATAAAGATTAAAGCATTAAAAAAATTCAATATGTATTTCTTGTGGTTATATGCAGCATTTGCCTGTCCTTTATAAAGTCTGTTGTCTTGAAGAAATTTTGACAAATAAATTTGAAAAGGTAAATAAATCCCTGTAGTTCACACAAACCTTAATATAAACATATAGATTTTTAACTTTCTTATGTTGTGAGATCTGATCACACAAACCAGGAAACATTTTCTTGACAGGTGTCCTGGAGGGGGAAAATGTTTGTCTTACATGCCTCTGAGATTACGAAATGATGGTGGAGCGTACAGAATCTGACCAAATCAGGACATACAACGAAACTAAGTCCTAAGTCAGCAACACAAGATCCAGATGAATATATTTCTTTTGACTTGCAGTTATCCTCTCTCATGCAGGTTCATGTTGGAGGAGCAGACTATATTCATCTGAGAGTCATCCAGTTCATTTGGCTTCTCCGCTGTGTGCCGCAGGAAGTGGACATACTGAGCGGTGTCGAGCAGCACAAAACCAAAGATGACCCCCTCGTACCTTTCACCAACTGATCACACAACCTGTTTCAAAAGTTAAACACTTACAGGCTGCAGTCTCATGTTAAAATGCTCTGCTTCTTTATTCTGAAATGACCTGACACTGATTTTAAATGTATTAACACACGGAGATAAAGATATTTGGTGTTGGGAAACAGCGGGTTTAATACACTGCCCTCTTATGAATTAATATAGATTAAAGCATTAAAAAACCTTTATATATTTCTTGTTCTTCTTATGTGCAGCATTTTCTTTTCTTTGTGAAGTCTGATTTCTAAACTAGATGTTGGCTTGGCTGGAAGAAATGGTTACAAATAAATTAGAAAAGGTAAATAAATTTCTTTGGTTTACAAAAAAACGTTAACATGGAGATATAGATTTTTTCAGAACTTTCAAGAAGTCATGATTCAGATCGCTGCAGTAGATTAAAGTGGCCTGCTTATGGAAAGTATTGAATTCATCCAATAAGTTTCAAAACCAGACAAAGTGGAATAAGTCAAATCTGATAGATTCTTGGTGAAAGCTTGTGTGGCTGTTAAAACCTTCAAACTGTAAATCATACCTATATCACGTATTCATTTTAAAGCGTGACCACACAGCCTGAAAACACTGCTTTGAATCTCAGAAGTGATGAAGTTTCTGTTTCTGGAACGTACAAGACAAAGTTCAACACATTTATCAACACAAAGGTTCACAGTGTTTCCAAATCTTACTCTGACCACTCTAAGACACAAAAAAATCTGCAGGGCTATTTCATTTCTTACTTAACCTGTATAGATTTATAGGCCGGCCTCTGAACACTAGAGGGAGTGTGAGCGCTGTCTGTTATTACAGTAAGGACTGCTGTTAGGTGATCATTTGGCAAGATAAACTCTTGCACAGAAACACTAAGAACAGCCCAGATGCAGGGGACCTAGTGTTCAAAGATTGTTTTATATATTTATTTAGGTTTTAAAATCACTCTCAAACCACACAGAAAAAGATGGCACTGAAGTCCAGAGTCTCAGGTAAAACAAAAAAAAATAAAAAAAGAGTAATCTATATCATGTTATATGTCAGTGGTAATAGCAGGTCATTTCATTGTTTCAGGGCTACACATCAGAGCTGTTAACAAACAGAGAAATCATAGCAACACTAAACACATGATGTCAGCAGGATTTTAACCGATGTAAAGTTTATTTTAGTCCGCAGTGATAGTGCTGCTTTTTTACACCCTGATTCCATCACTGCAGCTCAAAATAGTCAGGACTGAGTGGGCCTTCCTAAGCGTTATGATCATGTACAAGCAGTGATTTAATAGGTTTTCAGTCTCCAGGAGCCTCAACAGGTCATTTGAGTGGGTCCCAGGGAAATTCAGTGGGTCCCCAATAAATAATCTTGTATTTGATGTTATATGGATCTAATTATGGTTATATTCATGTATGATGGAAAACGTATCTGAAATTTAAATATAAAATCCTAAACCTTAAAACTTAATATAATTCAATCTACAGAACCACAGACTGTATATGTACCTTTACATACGATCTATGAAAACATATAAATGTCATATCTGGAGTTAAGTATGGAGAGGGCCAAAGTCATCTACATGTTCAGGTAGGCCTAAATCAAATGTTAGGCGCTATGATTTTGATTTGATGTGAAACCCATAAAAAAATAAAAATAAAAATAAACTACTGGATAAATTTAATAGTTTAAGATTTTGAGAGACAAATTGTCTTTCTTTATGCAAAGTGTTTTTATGTTTTCCTTAAAGCTTGTTGAGACTTTTCTTTCTTTCTTTTTTCCAATCTTTTAATTTATTTAATTTTATTTTTTTTTATAAAGCATCTCCTGTTTGAAACATATTAAACGCTGCTGTGTAGCATTCATTATTAAACCATGTGACCATGTACAAGGTGAGATACAGTAGAATTATTGGTAAAATAGCTTCAGTCCACTATAATCGTCTACACCATCCAGACCTTGTTCAGACATTTGCTGGATTTAAATCTTTGAGTTTTTCTGAGCTCGTCAACATGTTTAACTGTGATTGGCACAGCTGTTTCATATGGGTTAGGGTTTCATATTAGGTGCTACATCTAAATGTTAAATGTTAAATCTAAATCTAAATGTTAAATCTACATGTTAAATGTTAAATCTAAATGTGCTTGGTGAAACTAAATATTTAGCTAATATATGCACACTGCCGGTCACTGGAAGTGCCAAAATAAATCAGAGAAAATGAACACTTGAACATACATCAGCGTGATATAGATATGACATTTAACATTTAAATTAAACATTTAGATTTAGATTTAAAATTTAGATTTAACATTTAGATTTAGATTTAACAGTTAGATTTAGATTTAACATTTAGATTTAGGTTTAACAGTTAGATTTAACATTTAACATTTAGATTTAGATTTAACGTTTAGATTTAGATTTAACATTTAATATTTAGATTTAACTGTGACATTATGTTTAACATATTTAAAATAATGCTGTAAAAGTGACTTTAAAAACTTCACACCATGTTTTTAAATGTTGCTTGAGGCTAAATGTGGCAAAAATGTTGCTGTTAATTTCAGTGCGAGCCACTTTACAAATGGCACCCCATAGTTTCAGAGCCATGAGACAAGTGATGTGATTTACTGACTGAGAGAGTACGTCATAGTTACCACACACCTGCTGATGTAGGATATATTCACCTTTCACCACATCCTTTTGCACATTGCGCTGCTGAACATACACAAACCAAAATAGTGCCTCTATATTTCTGATTTCAACTGAGGGTGAAAAACAGTAAATTGCAGGCGCAATGCATGCTTTCATTTATCATTTTCTATTTTTTTTTTTTGTAACAATTTTTCCCATCCAAGATGACATCTATTTAGAACCAAATAGAACCTGTACAAAATAGCAAATGCTGCATGTAAGAACCACAAGAAATATATTTTAATGATTTAATCTTTATTATTTTTGTAGAGGGCAGTGCATTCATCTTGCTGCGTCCCAACGCCAAATATCTTTCTCTCTGTGTGTTAATACATTTAAAATCAGCGGCAAATCATTTCAGAATAAAGAAGCAGAGCACTTTAACATGAGACTGCAGCCTGTAAGTGTTTAACTATTGAAACAGGCTGTGTGATCAGTTGGTGCTGCTCTACACCACGCAGAACAACCGCTCCTCCTTCACCCGGAAGTTTGTGATAGACGCTCAGATGATCGTAGTCCTTTTCCAACCTACAGGAAAAGAGAGGAAAATTGTGCATCTAAACAAATACATTCATCTGGATCTTGTGATACTGAACAGTGAAGAGCTTCTACCATCAAGGATGTTTAACTGGTGTTTACTGTCCTGCCATGACATTGATTTTAAGTATTTACCTTGATGAGGAAGTTTCATCCTTTCACATGCTGAGCCCTGTATTCAACTGCTGTGTATACCCTGTAGTTCTCGCCTGTCTGTTTCTCCACTTGGCCCTTCACCTGTGTGTAAATGGAATAAAACATGATGCAGATGCTTTTATGCAGCAGCACCTGAGGCACACACACCTGTTCACACCTGTACAAAAATATCATAAACTCACTCCTTGAGTAGGCACAAAAGGCATGTTATTATGTAATGAGGTGTAAATACAGCAGAGCAAAATCACGTTACTATATGAACATTTTAAAGTGATCATATAAACTAGATGGTACAATGTGGTGTTTTAATCAGTGCAGTATTTTCAGCTCATTGTAAGTTACTAAACTGCAGCACAGATGTTGTAATATTATATATTATTATGGCTTAAAATGATAAACTAGTGTTCAGATTGTTTATGAATCAGTAGGCATATATTTGACATTTCTATATTGTGTTTATGAACAATATTATTGATTATATTATTCAGTGACTGGGGAAGAGGCCTATGGCTGCAACATTCAAACAAATGAACAAGTTTTAAATGTCTTGTGCATGATTTTATACACATTTTCCCAAATTCAGCCTGACATATTTAGAAACTCTGGGATCTCAACTGGAAGTTTAAATAAAGTTCTGTTGGTTTGAATAATGTTTAACTGCACAGCATGAGTTTGTAAAGACTCCATGACCATAGAAGAGGTTAATAACACTGAGTTGTTTCCCTGTAAGATATGATGTCGTAGATCCTCTGATTTTCCACACCTATAATATAAAGCAGATTGAAACAGCTTCAGACAGGATGGCGTTATCATATGACCATCAAATAATCAAGGTCATGGAGCAGTTATTGAGCTGGCACAGAATCTAACAGTAATGATTTGATTTGTTTGACTTCCTTCTTCTCTAGAAACATATTTGTCCAAGCCTTATGGTCACCATGTGCTTTTTTTAAATCAGAAACATTGTGTCTGTGGTAAGGTTTGTGTGAACTACTGGGATTTATTTACCTAATTTACAATATATTTGTAACCATTTCTTCCAGCCAAGAGGACAATTCTAGAAATCAGACTTCACAAAGAAAAGCAAATGCTGCACATAAGAACCACAAGAAATACACAGATTTTTTAATGTTTCAATCTTTATCATTTCTTTAGAAGGCAGTGCATTTACCTGCTGCGTCCCAACATCAAATATCTTTATCTCTGTGTGTTAATACATTTAAAATCAAAGTCAAATCATTTCAGAATAAAGAAGCAGAGCAGTTTAACATGAGACTGCAGCCTATAAGTGTTTAACTGTTGAAACAGGTTGTGTGATCAGTAGGTGAAAGGTAAGAAGGGGTCGTCTTTGGTTTTGTGCTGCTCTACACCGCTCAGTGATGGAGGAGATGGGAACTGTGATCCAGTTACTTGGTTGACACTCAGATGATCGTAGTCCTCTCCAACATCAACCTGCACAAAAAACAGAGAAACATTGTGTCATGATAATGTTTGTTTTGGTGTTTGGTTTTGTGTTTTGGGATGTTTTTTCTTTTTCCCCCTCCCTTTTCTCTCCCTGGCAGTGTGTGTGCAGCTGAGGGTGTGGCTGGCTGGCTCTTCATAATGAGGCACACCTGGTGTTCATTCAGTAATCACTCCTGCAATAAAGCCTGGTCAAGACGTCACTCCTGTGCCAGATTATCCCGACTCAGTCGCTAACGTAGTGGCTCCAGTCTTTTGTGAAAAAGTGAATTTCGTGTTATTTCGTCACTCTTAAGCGTTCTTTGTTTTTGTGCAGCTGCCGCTGTACCTCCTGCCGTACCTGATTGCAGCTTCCAGTGCTTCCGTGTCTCCGCATGCTGAGTCCATTCCAGCAACGCCAGCCAGCCCTCCGCTGCCTCCATTTGGCCCTTTTTCTGATTTTTGAACTTAGTGTTTTTTTCAATAAACACTTTGAACTGTTTTTCTGCGTCCATCTCTGCATTTTGGGGTCCAAACACAAACCAAATCATAACAGAATAATCTGGCCAAGACATGGACCCCGCGGAGACAGACAGATTACGACAGGCTCTATCAACTCAAGGCGCTCGTGTTGGCCAACACGAACAAGTTATCCATGAAATTATGGACACTCTAAAGAACCTCTCCACCAGTGTTACTCAGCTCGGTGGTCACTTGGATCAAGTCGTCACCCAGATCTCCAGTTTGGCTTCTCCAGGGGATCCACAAGCCTTTTCAGCTCCTGCTGCGGTTCCTTCAGCCTCCCCACCCGGTCTTTCCCGTGAACCCTACATCCCCACTCCAGTCAGATATTCAGGTGAGCTAGGGACATGTAGTCAGTTTTTGCACCAGTGTTCTCTAGTGTTTGATCAGCAACCCCAGACTTATTCTACTGAGAAATCTAAAATAGCCTTCGTCATGAGTTTGCTGTCTGACCGGGCTTCCTCTTGGGCTTTAGCTATCTCTGCCAACGATTCCGCTGTTACTCAGTCTTATCACTCCTTTGTCACTGAGATGCGCAAGGTGTTTGATCACCCGGTTCAGGGTAAAGAAGCCGGTAATCGGCTCCTTTCCCTCCGCCAGGGTGTCACTCCAGTCTCCCAATATGCCATCGATTTCCGCATTTTAGCAGCCGAGAGCGGGTGGGATGAGATCGCTTTACAGAGCGCTTTCCTTAAGGGGTTAGCTGACAATGTTAAGGACGAACTAGCTGCATGAGATGAGACCCAGTCTCTAGATGTACTGATTTCTTTAGCCATCAGACTAGATAACCGGCTACGAGAGAGACGTAGGGAGAGAGTAGGGAGACAGGGTGTCCCCCTCTCCGCTGCTCAGACCAACTCACCGTCTTCTGCTGCCCCCTTCTGTGCCTCCCGTGACATCACTCCAGTCCCAGCGCCAGCTCCAGGTCCAAGTTTTTCCTCCTCCCACTGCATTGAGGACTGTTACGACCGGCCTAGGGGAACCAGTACATAACATGAAAGGATGCTCCCCTCTTTCCCCAGTCCCAAGGACAACCAATGCCACACAGCTACAGTCCAACAAAAGATAATTTATTTAACACTCAACAAGAAAGGTAGCAATAAGCTTCAGGGTGGGCGTGGCCCAAAACAACAAACAAAACAATCCACTCTCCAAAACTAACTTACCTACCCAAAAGTAAAGAAAATGAAAATACAGGTCACTCACCTGACTCCCTATAAATAAACAGGAGAAAAAGGATGAACAGAAAGGGCTACCCACCCCTACGGCTACCTGGACTGCTGGACTAATATCACAATTAACTCATTTTTAACACAGTACAACAAAGCATGGTGCAGTTGGGAGTAGGGCCAAGAGAAGAGGGAGAACAGCTCAAGCAGCGGCCATTTTATACCAGCTCCACCAATCTCCAACAACCAATCAGCAGCCAGCACCTGGAGAGAGAGAAACACACTAAGGGTGGCAGCACCACCCTCAGGCAGGGAGGAACAACAGAACAGCAGAATCACAAATAAATGACCCAGGGTCATAACAGGAGTACCCATGCAGTTGGGGAGGATGAGACTGTCACAAGCAGAACGGGAATGCAGAGTCAGGCACCGGCTCTGCATTTACTGCGGTCAGCCCGGCCATTTCCTCGCATCCTGCCCCCAGCTGCCAAAACAGCTGGCTTATCAGCCACCGGGGGGGCGCTGATGAGCCGTACCACTTCTTCCACCACACCCTCCACTCAGATTCAGCTGCAAGGTATGCTCAGGTTTCCTCAGAACTCTGTACCTCTGCAAGTTTTAGTCGATTGTGGAGCAGATGACAATTTTATTGACTTTGAACTGTGTACCCAAGCTAATTTGCCCACAGAGACTCTCCCTGAGCCAAAGAAGGTTTTTGCCTTAAATGGACAGTTACTGGCTCGTGTCACTCATCGTACTGCTCCCCTGTCCCTCCAGCTGTCAGGTAACCACCATGAAATCATTTCTCTATTTGTCATTCCCTCACCTACATCTCCTTTAGTCCTCGGTCTCCCCTGGCTCAAGTTACACAACCCCCATATTGACTGGTCCACATCATCCATCACCAGTTGGAGTACATTCTGCCACTCTCACTGTTTACACTCAGCTACCCCCTCAAGTGACCTTTCACGTCCTGTGCCACCAAAACCTATAGACTTGTCTAACATTCCCTCAGTTTATCACGACCTCCAGGAGGTTTTCAGCAAAGACCGAGCCCTCTCTCTACCTCCACATCGACCATATGATTGCTCCATTGAGTTACTCCCTGGCTCCCCCCTTCCATCCAAAAAACTTTACAATTTATCCAAGCCTGAAAAGGAATCCATGGAGCAGTACATCACAGACTCTCTAGCTGCAGGTCTCATCCGTCCTTCCTCCTCACCTGTTGGAGCAGGTTTTTTCTTCGTCGACAAGAGGGACAAAACTTTGCGTCCTTGCATAGACTTCAGAGGGCTCAGTGATACCACAGTCAAGAATAAGTACCCATTTCCACTTATAGATTCCGCTTTTGGTCCCCTGCATCAGTCCACCATTTTTTCTAAACTAGATCTCTGCAATGCCTATCACCTCATCAGAATCAAGGAGGGAGATGAGTGGAAGACGGTTTTCAACACTTCTCTCGGTCATTTTGAGTATCTAGTCATGCCCTTCGGCTTAACCAATGCCCCAGCCATCTTCCAAGCACTCATTAATGATGTATTACATGATATGCTCAACAGATTTGTGTTTGTTTACTTGGATGACATTTTGATTTTTTCCAGAGACTTGGATGAACATGTGCAACATGTGAGACTGGTGTTGATAAGACTGTTAGAGAACAGACTCTTTGTGAAGGCCGAGAAATGTGAGTTTCATGTCACTTCAATCAGTTTCTTAGGTTTTGTGGTGGAGAAAGGACAGTTGAAGGCGGATCCTGCCAAGATCCAGGCCGTGGCTGAGTGGCCTATCCCTTCCACCAGGAAGCAACTCCAGAAGTTTTTGGGTTTTGCAAACTTGTATAGGAGATTCATTCGCAACTACAGTCAAGCAGCATTGCCACTTACTCAGTTAACCTCCTCTAAGCTCCCTTTTGTGTGGTCTCAGGCAGCTGACGCTGCATTTAAAAGGTTAAAGTGTCTGTTTACCTCTGCACCTGTGCTTTCCCACCCAGATCCTTCTCTTCAGTTTGTGGTGGAGGTTGATGCCTCTGACACTGGCATTGGTGCTGTGCTCTCCCAACGCTCCCCTGAAGACCAAAAAATTCACCCATGTGCTTTTTTTCTCTCGTCGACTCACGCCAGCAGAGAGAAACTATGACGCTGGTAACAGGGAGCTACTGGCTGTTGTCCTCGCCCTACAGGAGCGGAGACATTGGCTGGAAGGCTCCACACACCCCTTTGTGGTATGGACTGTCCACAAGAACCTCTCTTATCTGCAGTCAGCTCGCTGTTTGAACTCACGCCAGGCTCAGTGGGCTTTGTTCCTGGGTCGATTCCAGTTCACCCTTACCTACTGCCCTGGGTCCCGGAACATTAAGCCTGACGCCTTATCCCGTCAGTTCACCCCTCCTGTGGAAGCCTCACCTGAAGAGACCATCCTCCCTTCCTCCTGTGTGGTTGGTGCTGCCAGGTGGGAGATCGAGCAGGTAGTTCAGGAGGCCCAACGTGACCAACCTACCCCTGAGAACTGTCCCCCCAACTGATTGTTCGTCCTGCCTCCTGCCAGGTCACCTGTGCTCCAGTGGGGACATGCATCCAAGGTCGCCTGCCATCCTGGTTTCCTCCAGACCCTCACCCTGCTCTGGCGGAGTTTTTGGTGGCCAACCATCACAGCTGACACCAGAGAGTTTGTCTCAACCTGCTCCATCTGTGCTCATAGCAAATCCTCTCATCAAACACCTGCTGGCCTCCTACACCCCTTACCTATTCCTCATCGTCCCTGGTCCCACATTGCTGTGGACTTTGTTACTGGACTCCCACCTTCAGAGGGTAACACAGTTATTTTAACCATTGTTGATCGTTTTTCCAAAGCTGCGCATTTTGTTCCCCTGTCCAAACTCCCGTCTGCTTTAGAGACTGCAGACATTGTTTGTTTCCGACCGGGGTCCCCAGTTCTCCTCCCAAGTCTGGAGGGCTTTTTGCCAGACGCTGGGGGCGTCGACCAGCCTCTCGTCTGGGTACCATCCGCAGACCAACGGCCAGACGGAGCGGGCCAATCAGGACCTCGAGTCGGCTCTCCGGTGCGTCACTTCAAGACATCCTGCCTCTTGGTCCACCCACCAGTGCTCTGTGCCCTCCGGCCGAACCCCCTCCGCCCCCCTGGCTCATTGACGATCATCCTGTTTACCCTGTCCGGCGGCTGCTGGACGTCCGCAGACGGGGCCGGGGGTATCAGTATCTGGTGGACTGGGAGGGGTACGGTCCGGAGGAGCGGTCTTGGGTATCCCGCTCCTTGATTTTGGACCTGGACCACCTGAATGACTTTTATCGGGACTTTCCGGACAAGCCCGGTAGGCCGCAGGGTGGCGTCCATTGAGGGGGCGGGGTAATGTCATGATAATGTTTGTTTTGGTGTTTGGTTTTGTGTTTTGGGATGTTCTGTGTTTTTTCTTTTTCCCCCTCCCTTTTCTCTCCCTGGCAGTGTGTGTGCAGCTGAGGGTGTGGCTGGCTGGCTCTTCATAATGAGGCAGCAACGCCAGCCAGCCCTCCGCTGCCTCCATTTGGCCCTTTTTCTGATTTTTGGACTTAGTGTTTTTTCAATAAACACTTTGAACTGTTTTGCCGCTTCCATCTCTGCATTTTGGGATCCAAACACAAAACCAAATCATAACACATTGTGCGTCTAAACAAATAAATTCATCTGGATCTTGTGTTGCTGAACAGTGAAGATCTTCTACCATCAGGGGTGTTTAACTGGTGTTTACTGTCCTGCCATGACTTTAACATGACATTAGGTTCAACTGGATGTCACAATTAATTCAACATGAATATTACACAAAGACACACCTGAGGCTTTCAAACTTTTTTTTTCTTCAAATATCACAATATTATGTACCTTGATAAGGTAGTGGGTTCCTCCACACAGATGCAGATCTCTGTATTTAACTGCTTTGTATACCCTGTAGTTCTCGCCTGTCCTTTTCTCCACTTGGTCCTTCACCTGTGTGTAAATGGAATAAATCATGATGTAAATCCAGACTGAAATACAGACCAGAGAGTTGTGTGTGGAGGTTATGAAGAATAAAGCTAGACTGAAACTCACCTGATCACAAATCGTCTGAGTTTCCTCAGTGGCGTCCTTTGTCTCACTCCAGGCTCCCATGTCCGTAGCCATTGTCACAAGGTCTGTTGAAGTTAACAGAGAAGTCGACTGTCTGCTTCTACGTGTCTCAAGTGTTTATTTTCAGCTGGTTATCACATATATTTATACTGTGTAACCACCCCTGGACTCAGAATGGAAGGTGGATCTAATACCTGATGTTGTGGGTGGAGCTACAGTACAGGTGTAGCCACAGCCCACACATGATTGTGGTGAAGAAATGTGATGTATTGCTTTGTCATCTAAAACTATGTTGGCCTGTCATGCTTGCAAGGACACAAGATGAGGAGCAGTTTGGTCCACAGAAGATACTGCACGTCTCCAGATGTGGAAGATAGAATACATCAAACAGATACAGTCTACAGCACAGAAACACTAAGGTGTTCCTTATTTAAGTTCATCTGAAAGCGAGGGGCTTCATAATTGCACCGCAGTGCCACGTCAAAGTAAAAACAAAACTATTTCAATATATATCATATATGGGCTATAGTGTAAACAGAAAGAGGACTGAGTCCCCATCAGAGCTGCAGTTGACCAGAAACAGAACCAAGTACCTTTTCTGTTGGTCCACTTTTTGGTGCACTTTAAGAAGACTGAGTTCGGTTCATTTAAAAGGACTAGGATATATATATATGTGAAAACACCCTGATAGTCCTACGTACAGATAAGAATCTGTCACATCAGGTTTTGATTCAGTTTTTTCAGTCTTACAAACCAACATGTTGCTCAAAGATCTAATTTTGTGCAGCAGACCAGCTGTGAGAATGTTGTATGTTTACTGTCATTTACTGACAAAGTATGAATTCTATATTGTTTATTCTGAAACTCTCTTAAAGGTCACTGAAAGATTCCCAGATTTAAAGCAATGTTTTTAGGCTGTTTTCCAATGTTCTTTCAATAAGAATAGTACAAGTGTGAAGTACTTTTGCAAGAGTAAAATATTCCATGATTTCAAGCTCCTAAAACTAGGAGAAATGGGCTTCGATCTCCTTACCAACAGGATGAATCTGAGCACCCTGCCCATCCCTTATTTCCACCACCGAGAGGCCCTTGAGAAAGGGCCCTAAAGCTCAGGAGAGCAGATCACACTGTGGTTGATAGGTGACTTTCATGTGAGGGTAGAGTGAGTGGCAGGAGTGATGGCTTTGGTGGAGATGTAGAGCTGAATGTCATCAGCAAAGCAGTGAAACTGAAATTCAAAACAGCAGATTATATGACCAAGGGAGGGCAATGACAACCAGCCAGGTAAAACACTGCTTCTTCTCCCTGCAGAGTTGAGGTCCTAAACTGAGGGAATTAACACTCACTTAAAATGCATCATCATCTTTAAAGTGAATGTTTACAGCTACAGAAGAAATGACACAGCTGTTTTCACAAGGTGAGTAGTATTTCCCATGACGAGTAAACTGAACTTGATTTAACTTAATGTGTAAAATTGTGTGTCTTTAAAGCAATGATGTCCTAGTTCTTCTGGATAATCCACAGACCTCGCGGTGGCTGTGATCAGTTTTCACTTTCTGCTGAAGAAATAGTCCCTATGAAATCTGTCCACAGTGAGTTTGGCAGATTATCCTGAGTAACTGGGACACCGTTTCTGTGAAGTAAAGTGAAATAAATGTAAAATAAAAGTGAAAAAATGTTTTGTTTTTGTGCTTTCGAGGTTGCTTTATTTGTCATTCATCATGTACATGATGAATGGAATACAGTACTCAGTTCTCAGTGGAATAATAAATAAATAAATAAATAAATAAATGCAGTATATACCTAGAGAATCTAGCAGCCAGCATAAGCTTTTGCTTTTTAGCTTTTTAGTATATTTTTTTTAAGTATTACTTGTTTAACATTACCAGGCTCCTGCCTCAGTAGTTTTTTTTTAAATTTTGTTGGGGGTTTTTGTAGTATAATATACATATTTATAGTACTACTTAAATTATAAGATTGGATTTTAGGGTGCATGGCCTCAGACTTAGATGTGCTGACTCTCATCCTGACCACTCCACACTCAACTGCAAACCACCCCATTGCCTGTTGGAGGTCACATCATCTGCAAAGAGCAGATGCAATCCTGACATCCCCAAACCAAACCCCTCTCTCCCCATGCCTGCACCATGAGATCCTGTCCATGAATATCACAATACCACACTATTTTCGGTAAACATATTATGGAGGCCCACCAAGCAACATCTGGCGATCAAGTTCTGTTCCAGACATCTGAGGTGGTGGGACAGCTGCATGAAGAGAGAAAGAAAAAGACAGTTAAAACCTGACACTCATCAAACAGCTCAGAGAGGATCAGACCAAAGTAAATCCTGTTTGTAACACAGGAGGGCTCCAAACACCACTAAGCTGAGAGATGTGAGACATCTGCAGCTGAAACACACTCTTCATTTGGAGAGGAATTGGCTCAGGTCACCCGTGGTTGCGTACGTGGTTGCAGGTGACTTTAATCACGGCAATCTGCAAGACACACTCCCAACATTCCATCAACACCTCACTATTGCCACTCGGGGCAGCAATACACTTGACAAAGTGCATACAAACAGACGTAAGACATACAGAGCTTTTCCCCGCCCCCACCTTGGCTCATCGGATCACATCTCCATTATGCTGGCCCCTGCATACTGCCCTGTGTTACAGAGCAAGAAAGCCACCCAGAAGACCATCACACTGTGGCCAAACAAGGCTGTCCCTATGCTCCAGGACTGTTTCGAAACCACAGACTGGCAGATGTTCAAAGATGCAGTAACAGTGGATGGTGATGTGAACCTGGAAGCAGGGCCGGCCCAAGCCTCCATGGGGCCCTAAGGAAAATTTGATTTTGGGGCCCTCTATTACTGCCAATAATACTGATCATTGATCATTCACACACCTACTGTAAGTCATTTCATGTTCTACTCTGTCATCACATGTTAAACTAAATGTGAGAACGTTTTGTTGTAGTTAGATTGTAATCCACAGTGATTAAGGCCATGGAAGCAGACAACAGATCTGCAAACTTGCTGAAAAATCTTTCAATTAGTATTTGGCAAAGTCAGCAACTCCCCCTACTGGCCACACAGACAATCAATACATAAAACCTCAAAGAGCAGCCTGGCATGTTTTACCCATTTATGGTTTTTAATCTGAAATGGTAGCAAATTCAGCCACAAGAGCAGCATGGGGTTGATTTACACTTAGTATTCAAAGTGATATAGTACTAAGTGGGATACCGAATGTCATCTAGGCCAACTAAAAGTAACAAAATAAACCAGTCATTTACTGTAAACACAATCTGCTTTATTATTTTTTCTTTTAAATATACCGCAACACAGAGGGGACAGTGGGCACAGTGGATGGAGAAAAGGATGGAGATGGACCTAAGATGAAAAACAACAACAAAAGCTAGTCATGTTAGATGTTATATTACACTTGAAAATTATGCTGCTTATTACTAAGTAAAATAGTACAACTATAGCTTGTAATATGAAAACAATCCGCCAGTGGAACAACTGAAAATTGCTTGAAAAGTTTTGAAATAATATGCATTTGTCTAAAAACATGTCCCTTTTCATATGATTATATCTTATATTAAAAATTATTCATCTCAGAATGTTCTGCAGTACACTGAGCAATTACAAAGGCTGTTTTGTTGTTAACTTACCAGGTAGAGCTGAGGTTGTAGCAGACACGGAGGAGAAAGTGGGCACAGTGGATGGAGATGGACCTAAGATGAAAAACATGTCCCCCCTTGTCATATGATTATGTCTTGTTATATTAGTATATCTTAATGAGATAATTTGACTAGAAATTAAATATATATGGTGACAGTTTTTCCCTCACCTGTTTCATTAGCCTTGGCTGAGCCTGAGGAGGTGGACTGCCCCTGGGCTGAGTCAGTGCCTCCTCCAAAATACTTTAACAGTGCTCCTGGGGAAGTTTCATTTAACTTTTGAGCATAACAGGGAGTTGATGTAAAAGGAATATGTTTATTTACTCACATAAATTACTATGCTCTGCAGCATACAACATATCTCAAACTGTAAGTTAACTAAGTTAATTAATTAATGCAAAAACATATTGCTAGCAAACGTCACCACGTCTGTAATTAATGTTAGTTGTTATTAAACATTTGCTATCAAACGTAATCAAAAACGTTGTTTTGATGCCAAAAAGCGACCCAGAATATATATATAGCCTATATATACACCGAGAATCAACTTATTCAAAGTATGCTATTACACAAAAACGTTAGCTTAAATAGTAAGCTATCTAACCTTCCAGTTAAAAGAGAAGTTTCTGTAGTTTTGAACTAACATTAGCTAGCTAATTTGCTATTATAGGCTAACGTAGTTGGAACAAAATATCAACAATAATTAAGGACTTTCCTAATTTGAGGAAACTTTTCAAAATCTCCTTGACACCAAACGTTACATTACCAAGACATGCAAACATACCTTTATCTTAACGTTTTTTTTTCCTCTTCCTCTTTCTTCCTTTATGTTTTTCTGTCCCTGAAGGGTGTGTCCTTTGTTGCAACATTATTAGGCCTTCCACCTGCTCCTAGCTCCTTGGATGTGCAGTGCAAACTGCACGGCTGGATGCACACCTTACTAGTGGAGCTCTGACATTTAGAGCAGAGAGACAGTAGGAAACTACACTCTGTTAACATAATATTGTCTTTTTGTACAGCAGCATACATTTGATAATATATTCGTCATCATCACTCACACGTGGAAAAAAATAATAATTTTTTTCTTTTTTTAAGTTAATTGCTCTTGGGGGCCCCCTAGTGGTCACGGGGCCCTAAGCAGGTGCTTAGTTGGCTTATGCCTTGGGCCGGTTCTGCCTAGAAGAATATACAGCATCAGTCCTGGCATATATCAGGAAGTGTGTGGAAGATGTGACTATCACTAAAACCACCACAATCCCTCCAAACCAGAAACCATGGGTGAATGCAGATGTGCGTTCTCTTTTGAAGGCGTGGGATGCGGCATTCAGGGAAGGGGATGGGGAAGTACTCAGGGCGGCACAGCGGAGCCTGAAGACGGGAATAAAGAGTGCAAAATCAGATTATGCTGTTAAGATCTAGGGGCACTTCACCTCAAATGACCCTCGGAGCATGTGGAGAGGCATCAAATGCATTACGGATTACAGCAAGAAAAATGCACAATACACCTTTGCCTAATGCCCTGAACTCCTTCTATGCCCGCT